ATTACCATAAAAACATAAGCAGAGATCGGATATAAAATCTTTGCGGTCCAACCATATCGATCAACTGGACGGCGATCATGTTGCGAGAAGGTGGCTTAAGCTCTGGATGGAGCTTCCAGCAAGTAGCTTCCACGGGTGAAACACAATAGCAAAGTTTCACTATCAACAAAGGGAGATTACACAAAATTCTCTAATCTAGAGAATAAAACCAAACATGGATGCCCAAAATTGGGGGCCAAAAACTCTCCGTCCTGACTGAGAATACATCTCTGATAATGCGCTCCATAGCTTCGAAACAGAGCTATGAAACTGGTGGATCTTGCAAACAGAGGGCTCCATTGAGCCAAATAACCATCCAAGAATGGCACAGTTTTCAGAGAACCATGCAGAATATCCAGGGTCGGCATCAACTGTCTTTGGGTGAGATCTTGTCAGCCAACCAAGCTTCCTTACACGTCCTAAGAAAAGCTGGAATGAGCGTGACCACTCAGCGAAGTTACGACCATTCAACAATTGTGCCGTAATTTTTTTTTTTTGAGAGATCATGCCCGGTAATGCTGGTAATGCAACTAGACCCGTTGAGATCTCGTTCCAAGAACCTAGATTATATTAAAATCTAGACCCGTCTGAAGAACCCAAATTACAAGCAAGAACGCCACAAAGGATGTGATTTACCTTTGATAAATTCAAAAGTTCAATCAAGAACAAGAGGAGTAAACTCAACTCAATTCACAATCAAAATTCATTATAGATTGTCTCAACGGTAGAGGTGTCAACAGTAGGGTTCTCAAATCCCTCAGTAGTAGTCATATCAACAACAATACTGGGGCACCCGTGACAGAAAAATAACTCTAAGATAAATAGAGGAATAAAATAAGGGAGAACAATATACCTTCAGTCGAACAGTAGCGACAAATAGGGAAGGTCCAAAAAGCTCCCAAATAACTCTAAGATAAATAGAGGAATAAAATAAGGGAGAACAATATACCTTCAGTCGAACAGTAGCGACAAATAGGGAAGGTCCAAAAAGCTCCCAAATAACTCTAAGATAAATAGAGGAATAAAAAAAGGGAGAACAATATACCTTCAGTCGAACAGTAGCGACAAATAGGGAAGGTCCAAAAAGCTCCCAAATAATTAAGTCACGGTGCCCAGAAATCCAAAATATATAAATAAGTGATCTACTGCATCAAGAGCAGATCAACAGAGTGTACAAGACTAAGGCCTAAAATTGAACGGAAGAGATTGGGCAAAAACGAGGGCCAAGACGAAGCGACGGCTTGATCAAGGCGGACAGCGACGGCGCCGTCACTTTAACCTCTCCTATTCAACTTTCAGGCAGTTGATGGCCAGGGTGGTTTCGGCGGTATGGCTGGTAGAGCCATACACTAACCCTACCCCAAACCCTAACCTTGCTCTGATACCAACTTGAAATAATTGTGAGTAAAAGGAAATACTCAAATTAAGAGTAAAACCCCGCATATATAGGCAAAATATAAAAATCATAGTAAGGGTAAAAAAGGGAAAAGAAATCCTAAAGGGAAAAGAAATCCTAATAAACCTAGGAAAAAGAAATCCTAATAAACCTAAACTATCTATACTCCAACAGGATTCAAGACTTCTCTTGCAAATAAAATGAGACTTCTGATTTCTATGTCAAGGTCTCTAGGTATTCCTCTCAATAGTAGCCTCATATAATGAGAATTCTAATTTTACTATATATAGAGAGGAAAAAACAACAGTTAAGGAGTTGAGAATAACTGTTTCAACGATTGGTCCTAATGCAAAATTTAGCTTAAATGTTTAAATTACATTAACCATTGAAATGCCTATTGGGGATTTCTCCAACGACTACTAATTGAAGGGTTTCAACCATTCTGAGTTGGCACCTTTTGCTATGGAAATGAAGAGATATAACTCTCCATGAAGTGGTGCATAGAACTCTAGAAATAGGGTTCAAATGCATAGCCAAATTTACCAATTCTATTGCACTCCTCTTCTTACCTTGTTCTTTTTCTGAACATTTATATTTTCTGATTTTTTGCATTTGAGCTGAGTTCTAATCTTAAAGCTACCAGAAGTGCAGTCTTAGAGAGTCTTGAAAGTATTTTTTGGGAAAAGTGACAGCCTTGAAAGTTAGGCATAACCTGGGAGTAGATTTCCAAGAGTTCATCTATATATAATGAAAAAATTACCATCTAGCATTTGATGTGTCTTGTCTTGTCTAATAAACATATCTTCAGTTAGTTTCTTCACTGTTTTGTACTTGGAATTTTATACTACCAATTTTTCATGCAACAGCTTAAGCAACGATTTTTCCAATGTTTTCATTGGAAGAACATGGGGTTTGGAAGATAGATTTTGGGTATGCAAAGGATATGATGGTTGTGAAGTTATGTTTGTAACTAGAGAAGTGTGTTGAACGTGTGCTTGTATCATTTCACATGAAAAATGCTAGAAATATTAGCATGCTACAAGCTGATCGCGTGAAATTTAGTAATAGCTTGTGCACCTAGACCAAAGTAGAAAATGGAAAGATGACATCTATTCCTTCTTCCTTGGGTTTAGGGATGCTAATACAACACAGGAATGTTGGTGTTGAATAACCATCTAACTTGAAAATTTCAGTTGTTGGAGCGGGTATAACATAAATATTTATACTTCAATATGCCCCCTCACATACAAGCTAGATTTTGGATCTAGCACGTAGAATTCTTTTTAATAATTAAGGTGTCGGTAAGATTCGAATACATGACTCTTTGCTCTGATACTACGTTAAACAACCATCCACTATAGGAGTATAAATTGTTGGAGAGGTTGTAACTTAAGTATTTATACTTCTACAATTGAGAAGTTGTGGAATGGATCTTTATATATTTGAATACCATTTTCAATTCGTTCTTTAGTTTTACAAACACAAAACCAGTGTTTGAAGGCCACAATGATACTTCTATGACAAGTAGCCTCGATGGTAGGAAGACTTGTTGATATTTGTTCACTTTTGAAAGAAGATCTATTTCCTGGCAGTCAAAATTGCCAAATTGTGTCCCTTTATCTATTATTAAGGCGAAATATATGTTCGGCCTACTTTCTGTAAACTGTGACAATGCCTTGGGAAATAATGTTTAAATTGACTGCACACACCTGTCTCAAAAGTGAACTTGAGCTGATTCGTATTGTGGCACATTGATAGTGTGGATTTATATGCTTATTTAGGATTTGAGCATTACAATATTGCATTCTGATGTGTTGAGAAACTCATATTAGTTGTCTTGTATAAAAGTTTAAGCTTTTGGATGCACATCCATATTTCCATGGTTCATTATACATTTGTCTTCTTAATATATGTAGGAGTAGCTCTCGTGGTGGATGTTTTTTTGTAGATGAAAGAAAAAAAAAAGAATTAATAGTAAACTAAAAATCTACCGAGAGGCCCTAAAAACAAAAGGATTTAAGTATGACTAAAATTGAATATGTGGAATATAACTTTGGTAAAAAGATGAATTCAACATGAAAATATATAAAAATTGAAAATCATCAGATATCAAAGCGTGAGTATGTTCGATATTTATGGTTAATTATCCACAAGGAGTGTAAGATTAGTGATGATATTTACTCAGAATTAAAGCATGATGTACTAAATAGAAGAATGCATTTGGAGTATTGTGTAATAAACGCATACCTCTTAAACTAAGAGAAATGTCCTACAGAACGTCACAACACCTGCTATGTTTTATAGCCGAGTGTTGGATAACAAAAAAATAACATCAACAATTGGATGGGGGCGAAAATGAAAATGTCATAATGGATGCACGTTAAACGTAGGAAGTAGGAAAAATAATGTTATAAATGAGAATATTCGTAAAAAATAGAGAAAACACATATATGCGATAAATTAAGGAGTATTAATTTAGATGGTTTGGACAAGTTTATAGGCGAATTACTACGCAAGGGAGAAAGAGTAATATAGCTATTTAGTGGTAAGCAAAAGGGTAGAGGAATACCTAAATTAACTTTAATGAAATAATAAAGAAATATATGATGAGGTTTAACAAAAAATATGACCCTTAATAGAACAAAATGACAAAACAAGATTCATGTAGTAGACCACAAAAATATCGAGATGAAGATTCTTTAAATTGAGTTGAATTGAGACATGCAGAAACCTATTAGTACTATGATAGCATGATATGAATTCTTTTGCACATTAATTTGGGTTAGATCCTAGTCCATTGTACGGTACCTCATCCTTCTTTAGGTTAAAAGCAGGTGGGAAAAAGCTTAATCCCATTATTTATTGTGAAGGTGTTCTATTTGTTAGGATGCTTATTCTTCTTCATGCTATTGTGCATGTCATTATAAGCTTTAATGTAATTGAAAATAATTTGAATTTTTCTTGTAAAATTTTATTTTGTTGGCAAGAAGTTGCAAAGGAACAGATTACAAATTCCATGGTTAGACGTCAAATAAAAAGTAAAAACTTAATTGAAAAAATCACGAACCGAAATCTAGGGCATGATAGTATTGTTACACCAATTCATCATAGTTGCAAATAAAGATGCATCAGTTTCATGTGTTTTCCAGATTGTCTTAAAATCTTTTGGTTGTAAAGTACGATTGACCCTTTAAATCTTAAATTTATGTTTCAATTATAGAAACCTTCGATTTTATAACCGAGCAATGGAGGGATTTGGTCATGTCTGATTTTATGGATACCAGTTTTAATTGCATAGCAATCCGTTTTTTATCCTACAATTCTTTGCCTTGCTTGTGGTTGTTATTCTGAGGTCGTCATTTGCTTAAAATAATTATGCAGATTTAGTTTTTGTAATGTTTGGTTTGGAAGTAAAAAAGAAAATGTACTCATTGCATTTATGTTGTGTTCAAACTTCTTTAGCATGCCAGGGACCATGGAGAGATATCAGAGACATACAAAAGAGGTTCAAAATGACAGCACTACTATGGAACACAGCATGCTGGTTATGCATCTCTCTCTCTCACACACACACAGACACAGACACAGACACATACACAGACAGATAAATGTATATTTATACTGTTTGATAATATGGTTTTTCCTCCTGTGTATTGTGGTAAATATGTTTCACATAGGAACCTAAAAGAATGTTGGGATGAATTAAAGATTGAGTTGCAAAAGTGAAACTCTAAACAGAAGAAATTGAAAATTGTCGAACGGATTTCCCAGAATGTACTGCTTCTCGCCTCATAGTTTACAAATGGAAGTATAGGACTCTTTGTATAGGTATTTACATGCAAATAACGCCTTTTGATGAGACATATGAACAAGACCTTTGACGAAATATACTGTTTTTTGAATATATGAAGCCAGTAAGCAGACAAATATTCCCCATGTACTTGATTTTCTTTGACTGGTAAATGTCATTGTAGAAGCATTCAAGTCATATATGTCTGTGATTCAATAAAGTTGTCATGAGTTTTTTCCCATTTTCTCCATCTCATGACAAACATAGAAATGTTTGTAATTTACTTGGCAGCATTATTTGCAATAGTTTGCACAGGTGCCAATGGTTTCACTCATTGTAATTTCTTTAAAATGACAGCATTTGAAACATGATACGGCAAACATGGCAAAAAAGATTGAGCTTCTTGAAATTTCAAAGAGGTTGGAACGCATTGTATCTTAATATTTCATGTTATATCGTGCGTAAGTTCATGTCTATTTCTGAACATTGAATTTGGAATGCTAATAGAAAACTCTTGGGAGAAGGTTTGGGGTCATGCACTATTGAAGAACTACAACAGATAGAAAAACAATTGGAGGGGAGTGTAAGCAGCATTCGAGCACGAAAGGTCTACTTATGAGAATCAAATGTATTGGTTTCCTAAGATTCATAATTTAACATTCTTTACACATTCAGCTTTTTTATGGTTCAGATGCAGGTCTTTAGGGAACGGATCGAGCAACTTAAACAAAAGGTTAACTGAAAAAAATATTGATTAATTTCAGGCTTCAATAATACTTTGAACTATTTGAGTGCTGAGAAATTGGAAAGAGAAAAAGGGATTGAAATTTTTTTTTCCGGTAAGATTTGAAACTTGACAGATTGGAATTGAACTTTTGGCTGTCAGATCCCATGTTCTGGTTTCTCTATAATTTCTCAGCAAGCAAAGATGGAACATGTGTTCATATGTATATATATAAAATTACCTGTCAAATTTATAAATGTTTGTAATTGAGGGACTGATTTACTAATTTTGCTAATGTCATTTTTTTTTTATCTTACCAAATCAGGAGAAAGATTTAGAAGCTGAAAATGCAATGCTATGCCAAAAGGTGAAAACTTGTATTGCATTTACAATTTTCTTGGCTTATCTGTTGTGTTCCCATCATCTATTTCGACCATTAGGAAAATTTATATTTATACATTTTCCTGTTTGTTTATTGTATTCTTAATATTTGGTAACCCAAGTTTCAACAACTTAAAACGTATTTGATATATGATGCATCAATCTGCAGCTTGAAATTGTTTATGATAAATAAACAGTTCTCTTGGCCAGGAAGTTTTATGTAAATGTTTTTGTGTGCATGAATAAGCTCATACACAACCTTGGAACTGAACAGTACTCTATATGAATTTTTGAACTTGTTGTAGCTACTGTGGTAGATTTCCTTGCCTTCAATACATTTTGCATAACATTGAGTATGTATATGTTTTCTCAGTGTGGACTACAACGTCAGCGAGGATCAAATGAAGAGGGAGGAAATTTACCCTCCCCAGAAAATAGTGACAAGTCAGATGTGGAGACTGAACTATTCATTGGACCACCAGAAAGCAGAATGAAGCGCGCTCTGCAGAAGTGACAATCCATGCCACACCTCACAAATCTACCAGATATGTACTATATATTATGATAATTTCTTTGTCAATTGTCAAATAGTCAACCCCATCAGATTTTTTTACACTTGCACAAGCAATAATACCAGCAAAAGTATGGTGAGTGTATTGTTTTTTCTTTCATTGAAACTAAAACCGATATGATGATGGAAAGACAGCTTAAATAGCTTATCCTACTGTATATTCTGTATATTGAAAATGCTTCAATCCAGTATCTATTTTCTTCGACTCCAATGATGGAGGCTTAAGGGCTATGTAAATGCAGTAAACATATCCTTTACCCTTGAACTTTAATAGCATGTCATGGATTTGAGGGATAGAAACTTATTGCAGTATTTACTTTGTTATCATGATGCTTTCTGGAATTAGGCAGCATCCATGTAGTAACAGTAACACTGCCTTTGCTATCACAGGCACCGATTGCCGACCCCAATATTTTCATGGTGGAACTAATTTCTCTCTCCCTTTATAGATTTGAAAAAAGCTTTACCTCATCACTCTCATTTCACATGGGTTTACTCAAATTTACAACTTACAGTTTGTGCATATGAGTACTAGTCATTTCTCCACGCCCAATCGCTTGCTTGACGATCAAGTATGCTGCTTAAATGGGCAAACCATGCATATTGCTGGCACATTGAATTTTCCATCATTTGTTCTATGACCTAGCCGATGATAGGTAGGTGATTGAGAATTCTGGACTGGAGGTGATAAGGAATGATAGTAACTTTTCCCTTATTATGGGAATTCAATTCTTGATATTTAATGCAACAGTTTGAGGGAGCAATACACAACTTTCATAGCTTGGCAGGAGAACCAGAAATGTACCATACTGAAAAAATATGAGTATGTATCTCTGATTTTTCTCAAGCTGTGCCTTTGTTCAAAACTTCAAGAACAGCTTCTCTTGTGGGCAGCGCAGGAATAGCTCCTTTCTCGGTCACAGTGAGAGCTCCACAGCCATTTGCAAAAAAGAGAGCGTCCTTCAATTTCTTTTCATCCTGAAGTGAGATATCGCAAATCAATTAATTACTTGGAGAGCTGTTTTTTCACATTATAATTCCATTCTATCTTTGCCATAATAAAGTTCAAAGTTTCTTGACCGAAACAATATGTAATGAAATGATAGTTAAAAGCAATGGATGAAAGTTCTATACCTTATACAAATTTGGGTTTGAAGCCAAACTGTTCAGCAAGCTACCAACAAAAGCATCACCTGCGCCAGTGGTATCAATTGCCTGGACTTTAACACCATGAACTCTGCCATGAAACTCCTGCAAAAAAATTTCCAAAACAAAGGTAAAAGTGATCGCCTGCTCTACCGTGCGAAAAAATTTGAAAATGTCAAAAAACTATCAACAATTGACATAAAAAATGTCATCATGACCCCATGATCCAGTAGAACACATAAATAATACTGATAAAACAAATAGAACCATTTCATCAGGTGTCAAACATTTTGGAAGCTAACCTTAGTGTAATATCTGCAGCCCTCTGGCCCTTCAGTAACAATCAGAAGCTTAAGGTTTGGGTGGTAAAGCTTATTTAAGACCACATTGTCATCATAGGGATCATCACCTCCAGTGAGGAATGTGATTTCTTCCTCACTTATCTGCCATTTCCATGAAGACCAATATTAAATTTTAGTTTTGGGAAGAAAAATAAATTAGTCCAATACTTGTGACTTTCACATCTAATAAGTCAAAGCTGTACCTTAATAACATCAGCTTGGTCCCATATGCTTTTGATGCCCTTTCGGGCAGCTTCTTCCGAGGGCCAGAGAGGCAATCTTAGATTAGGGTCGTAAGAGAGAATGCATCCTGATTTTTTAGCAATGTCCATTGCAGCAAGATGAGCTGACCTACATGGTTCCTCTATCAAACTGATTGAACCATAGTGAAATATGCTTGCCTGCGTGAATCATAGTTAGAGAAGAACACCTTGATACATCAATACCAAGCTTTCATCTGTAAACCTATAATACCCTTTTTAAATGAAGTAATTACATGTAAGATACTTGTGACACTTGGACTGTGAGAAATCTTATTCAAGATGACATGATATATTTTCTTCCTAAAAAAAAACACTAGAGAAGATAAAGCATTTTTAAGGCTTGAAGTGAATATTTCACTGGTAAGTCTGCACGCACACAAACACACATGCACATTGTTTTGTGGAACAGTTGAAGTATTTCATCCAGCTGATCTCCAATTCAGGTTATGTTTACCTTTTGAATGAGGCTTTTATCAAGCTCTGCTTCAGTGAGTAGCATATCAGCACTTGGATTGCGGAAAAACATGAATTCACGCTCGCCATCAGCTCTCAAGGTAACAAAGGCTAGTGCAGTCCTTGCAATAGGGTCGAAACGCATACCACTATTGTCAACATTGTTTTGCTTCAGAATATCAGCTAGCATGCGGCCAAATTCATCTTCACCTACCTGAAATGGAGATGCAGAGGACTCGATCATTAAATGTATATTGACATGAAATAGAAGTTGATATGGTGTAAAAAAATAATCTTGGAGGGTTACATGACGGACTGAAAAAAAGAAATAAGCCAAAAAATGGAACTTCAAGAGCACAAAGCTATGCTATTCAACATGAATATGACAAATCAACCTGAACATTGAGGTAGGAAGTTAGAAGATACCAAACAAGCAGATTACAGTCTAAACTACGCAACATAGCGCGCAAAAAAAAAAAATTGTTCACAAAAGTGGGCGTGCTGCGATTGAGGACATTCAACACAACAAAACTCTGGCTTCTCACCTTCCAATGTACATAATTTATACATTATTTCCGGGCAGAAGAAGGGGGAATGGTGGGATCTCAATGCATGAAAACCTGCATCCATTATTATGGAACAGAAATTTGTGAGCCCTTAAGTTGGACTGAGCAGAAATATATATCCAGTATTACTTATCAATCATGTAAAAAGCCTATTGTTTCTTCCTTTCTGGCAAGAGCATGGATCACTCTCTTGAAACAATTTAAATACTGAATAGATTTTGCTGCCCATCAAACTTCAACATAATTTTTTTCATAATTCATATAATAGTAGATCCTCAATGCCATTGTCATCATTAGCTCGGGTGATAAATTATGCAGGCAAGAACTGATAACTACTTCAAAAAAAAGTTGTTAGACACCTCTAATGTGGCTTCTTAATATGCAATAGCTCACGTTTTTTGAATAAAACAACGACCTGGCTTCTAAAATTCTTAGTGAACTGGAAACAAGTCCAAGAAACGTGGTAATAAGAAGGGGAATCAACAATAAGATGAAAACAAATCAATTGTTATTTGATAGTTTACTCAGCTATATCTATAAGCACATTAAAGCCCGGAAAACAACTGAACCTTGCCAATAAAAGCTGAATAGCCTCCTAGTCTTGCTATTCCAACAGCAACATTAGCAGGAGCACCCCCTGGAGCTTTCTTAAAACCAGGAGCCTCTGCTAGTGAAACTCCAGAAACAGTTGGCACAAAGTCAATCAACAGTTCCCCAAAGCAAACCACAAGGGGGCTTTTCTCCTTGGCTGTTCTTTTCCTAACAGAAGATCTTGGCGTACCTATACGAGCCCCATTATTCATGATCACTAATAAATTTTACCTAAACAATAGTAGATGATTTGAAAAACAAGGACAAACTATATATGACAGAGCTCCTGATATGGGTTCTTCAGAACTTGAACACGGTTATTAGCATAAATTCTATTGCAAGATAGGAGACTGTCCTGTTCTGCAAACAGAATGTGGAAAATTTATGACAAGGTGATATTATAAAGCAAGCACATAAGCTCATGTGAACAACCCAACAAGGACCCAAAGGAAATCTTTGAGCTATCTAAATGGAACAGAATCATTGCCACACAGCAAAATCTAGCTTTCTGTTCTAAAACCAAAAGAGGATGAAGTTATAAAAAAAATATTCTATTCATAGATAAACCAGGAATTGAAAGAAAAAAAAACAGAAAAATGGACAAAAGAATCAAAAGTAAA